ACTTCAGAGCAACTTAACAGTTGTAAAACAAAGCACAACTACAATGAACAACATAAATTATAACAGTAAAAAAAACATACAAAACATGACAAAATTACTCATGAAACCCTGTATATATATATATATTACATTGATTTAAAATGCATAATAAAATGTAATACTGGTGAAGAAAACGCAGAGCTGATCCTAATACGTACCACAGTTACAGACAGGAACCGAAGAAGGAGGTGAACTGACTGTTACTGGTTGCTATGGTAACCGCCAATTGTCAAGAGTAACATAACTTAACACAGCAGTAAAAGTCAAGAGTCAAAATAAGTTGCTGACTAAGCAAAATGTATTTAAAGAATTAATACATAAACCAATTTTGGAAAACTTCACATCTATAATGTTTTTAAAAAACCCTGTTACATTTAAACTGATGAATACATTAACAGAATATCATCCGTTTTAAAACTACAGTTGGCAAAATTTGCACTTTTAAAAAACAAGTTTAAATTTCGTGGGTTCATATTTTAAGACTTTCTTTAGTGTGTGTATCAAAACTAATAGCATTTAATATGTATATGTTATGCCACATAAATACTTTAGGTTATTTAAGCAGCAATTAAAAAAATAAATGCTCTTGTGAATAAAAAGAAATTGGACATTTTTGCAACTCCATATCTAAAGATTAAAATGTATGCCTTGTCTTCTTTACAAAGTCAGATTAAAGGGAGTGTGTCAAAGAAAATACCATAATCACTTTGACTGAAACAGTAAGTTTTTTTATCTAGACATTCCACTTTAGCTGTGGTTGTGTATTCTTGGCTGTTGTCTTACCATGACACATCTATTTGACAAATGCACTTTCCCTCATATGTTGCTGTTTCCCTTCCATAAGCTGTGGCAAACCTGAAGCACAAATTGAACGTCTTGCTTTTACTAATGACTTTCTTCTTACTATTCATCAATAAAGGCCAGGTTTGTGGTTTGCAGAACTGATGGTTACGTCTACAGATTCTCCCACCTGAGCTGTGGATCTTAGCAGCTCCTCCAGACGTAATCTGGGTCTCTTGGTTCCTTCTCTGATTCATGCTCTCCTTTCCCGGCCTGTCATTTTAGTTGGATGTCCGTATTATGTTTGCATGTCTGCCATTTCTTTGCATTTTTGAACAGTGTGTTGAAGAGTGCTCCAAACGATGTTCTCTAGCAAACCTTTACAGATTCAAATTACTTTTAGCTGGACCCTATGTACTAAAAAAATCTAACTGAAGTACACTAAAGTATTTTGTTGTAATATATCAGTGTGGAAAAGTTCTGGGGGTGTGAAAACTTATTTCCTACACTGTAACATGTCTGCTGAAATGACAACTGTGATGAGAAAAAAAAGTGTCTGAAGTGTGTGTAGTTCTATAAACATTGATCTCTTGCTACATGCCACACCAATTGTGACCTTTGAAAATAGAATCCTAATATTTCTTACCGTATATTAATTAAAATTTTATAATTAGACACTTTGATTCCTTGTTTTGTCTCTAAAGAAATCCCTATAGTCGCAAATTTTATTGTTTTCTTATTATTTTATTTTGAATGTCTCTTTTACAGAAAGACAGTTGAAATATGTATTTCTGCATAAAGTGTGGTGTATGACTAAAATCTGTTACTCATTAAAGGTGGATGAAGCCAAGCAGCAACAGCCCACAACATCTGATTCCAATGACATAAAAACCACAGTTGGCTTTGATCCACTGATCCTGGGACAGCAGTTCTGCCAGTGGTTCTTCCAGATCTTGAACAGTCAGAATCCATCACTGGGCCAACAGCCTCAAGACTGGGGGCCACAGCATTTCTGGCCAGATGTGAAACTACGGCTTCTTTCCAGGTAGGAATATTAAACCAACGGGGAGGAAAAAAAGATGTCAGTTTTTGAGGAAGTTGATTACCGTGTGTTTTTCAGAGCTACGACTGAGCAGATGGAGGAGTTCCAAGGGGCTGAAGTGGTCAGCCTTCGTCTCTTGGCCCTGACCAGTGGAGAGCGCCTTGTCTTCAGTCCCAACCTGGACCCTCACGGCCTCAGGGCAGTGGCCTCCCCCCATGGATTGGTTCTGGTGGGCGTGGCTGGGACTATCCACAGAGACCAGTTCTGCCTTGGCATCTTCGAGCAGATATTCGGCCTCATCCGCTCACCCCTGAATGAAAACAGCTGGAAGATAAAGTTCATCAACCTAAAGATCAGAGGACAGGACGGCATTGAAGGGACAGAGGTAGCAGCTCCTGCTTTAAACTACAACTCCAGTGAACTGCAGCTTCTTTGCAGCTGATGGCAGTCATCATAACACTGGATATCTTTTACGCTATTTTACCCAGGGATGTTTTACTTGATTAGGCATGCATACATTAATACACAATTAGCTGAGTTGCCTGAACAGATCCTGATACTGATACTGAATTGGGGTTGGGGGAGAGGAACGTTTTGCTTAGTTAATGCAAATTGAGGCATGACAAATTTTTACATTTCCTTGACAGTTTGTCTTTGCTTTTACAAATGCAGCAATTCTGTTGGTCTCCGGCTCGAAGCTTTTACTGAGTAAATGGTGCTGCAAAGTTGTTCTCTGACAACTTGTGCCTTATTTAATATATTCTGTGGATGCACTCCTGAATATACCTTTGTAAATATGTATTATATAAGAGAGAGTTGACTTGTGTACATTTATACTGTAATTAGAAGTAAGTCCTACAAATTGGATTATTATTTTCTCTCAATGACATTGCAATCCCCGGCAAAACTGATTACAATGTAATAAAACTTTTTGTTGCTTTCTTTTGATGAGTAAGGTTATCCAATGATTATTGATCTTGTGTTGGGCATACATATTAACAGAAATAAATTAAGTGGACTAACGCAAAGGACTGTAGTAGGTGAGCCAGATATGTAGGCAAGTTTTAAAATATATTCAACAAATATTTCTCTGTAAAGCATCTTTGAGGAATCACATTCTTTACCAAAGTGTTATTTTAAGATTTTTTTTATTATTATTATCATTTTATTTCTGTAATAGGTAAAAGCCTTATTGTTGAGGTACTTTTTAGAGCAACCACTTGCAATAGATGGCCAATAAAATTCAGAATAGAAACCTGTGAGGACCAGAGCAGAGTTTCTCCTTCAGCCTGAAAAAGAAAAGTAAACATATGCATGTGTTAGACTGGCCTAGATCTAAATACAGCTGATATTTTTTCTTCCTAAGGTAAAAAATAATTGTTTTTTTACATATGGTTTCTGCTCAAGCTTATTGCACTTAAGACATTTTGTAAAAAAAAAAAATAAATAAAATACTATGTGAATAATTTTCCATCACCAGATGTGCAAAGCTGTTAGAAACATGCCTCAAAATATTTGCAGCCAAAGGTGAGTTTACAAGCATAAATCAGCAGGCTAAATACAACTGCAAAAACATTGTTTTTCAATCCATGTGAAATATTTATCTAATTCACAGCAACGTGATGCGTTGCATTATTCTGCCACAAAACTGTCGCGGTGAAATATGCAAATATGTAAAATGTTTGCGGTTGTATTGTAATGGAAAAAATGTTTAACAGTTCAGAGTTTTTCAATACAGTTGTAAGAGACTACATCAAGAAGGGGAACTTTAAAACTGGAAGATAAGCTAAGTTTGACAGCGTCTGTCTTTGACCTTCATGATGCTTCAGGTTACGTGTTGTGCAAATTTTTCAATGAATACAGCAGAGCTCTGACTTCTAACAGAGACCAGCACCTACTGAAGTAAACAATTTGTTTTGGTGGTTTTCTGAAGGTATGTGAGCTACAGTCTTAAGACCAAGATTCATTTCTTTGGAATTTTATTATAAATTAATTCATGTCTTCTGCTGTTTCCCTTACAGGAGCAGTCTTTGTTGCTGTAATATAACACTTTTGTGGTAAAAGTAAGGTAACTTTATTAACCAAAACAATAGATTACTGTGCTTGGGAAGAGAAGCTATTATGTACCAGATAACGCATGTAACATAAATGAAAAGCCAAATTATCAGAAGCTAAATTTAGTAATTTCTGGAAATGTGGATGTAGGGGAGAAATATCAGGAATGTGAGGGTTAAAATCATGACCCAGTTACACCAGGTATCATATTTTGTTCTTGGTATAGAGCCTGCTAATAACTCGGATCCCAATATGTAAATTTGTTGGGCCGGGTTAGCTCAGTTGTCAACACACATGGTGCAATAGACATCACACTTGAATCTGGTGTAAATGGGTCATACCTGTAGGAGGAGGCCGGGGACGCTCCAGCTCATCATCATTCACACCGACATTTTAGTGGAACAACAGCTGAGTAATCACCAGCTGAGAAGTTGAAGTCAAATAATTAATCTTGGAATTAAAAAAAAAAATATTCCAATCACACTTTTTTTTTTTTTTCTGTGTTATATGCAGGGGTGAAGGT